GGTTGTCGCACTGTAAAGTTATCCTTCTGTACATGAGAAATCTTCACAGACTGTCTGCTTAATCTCGGACCCTTAACGGGGTGCTGGCTTCCTCTTTTCATGGTATCCTTTCACATCTCACTTACAGGGGTACTATGTTAACTTGGGGAGCTGATGAAAAGTATTTCCTTTTACTTTTAATGACTCAAGTCATGTATCCCTCCCAAAAGGACTGAATACTTTTATTAAATATATTTTTTATAAAAGTATTCAAAAGAAAAATGAACTCCAGTTCTAATATTCCCAATTCTGGCCTTGTGTGGCTCATTACCCCTATTTTAGAATGAAGGGTTAAGTGACTTGTACAAGGTCCTGCCACTAATTAAGTAGCAACACAGAAATTAAAATCTAAGCCCAGATCCCAAATATGTTTCTGCTTCTTGAGGATAAATATTACAGAGTATGGCATTTTTGCTATGACTTGGGCTATGTTTCTGCACACAAAACTCCTTTCTTTTGTTGGTTGATACACAAACATCAAATACAAATGTGTGTTTATTTTAACATTATATCAGAAATGATTCTCACAGGCTAGTGACAGAGAGTTGGGTTTATTTTCCTTTATATTTTTGTCTTATCTTTCATTTCCTTGTTGGAAAATAAGGCACACGCCATCTTTTAAAAGCTGGCTACAAATGTAGGTCACTGGAAGCAGTACTGAGCCTTTGCATGTTTTTTCTTAGTCTTTTTAGTTTGCCAAAGAAGCTCTAACTGTGCTGCCAGAGGAGGACTTAGAATTTTAAATAAGCTCTCATAAGTAGCGAGGGGGTAGAAAAGAGTGAAACCCTGGGGTCAAACAGCAAATTTCTGGCTCAACTAGCACTTCAGAGTCATAAGCACTGAAAAACCTATAGTCTGATAATTTTCTGAATAAAATGTTGACAAAGAAATGAAGGGACCATATACTGATTACAGCTCTGCCTTCCGAGGGCTTGTCTCGTATTTGTCCTTATACTATGGACAAAGGATATACAGAGACAAAATAGTTTTGATAGGAAATACAACGAACATTATATAGACTAGAAAAAGTAAAAATGTGTGGGAAAATGTGTTATGTTACTGAACATGCAAAATAGAATGATAGAAGGACCAAAGCACAATTTTTAATTATTTATAACACGATGTATTAAAACCTCAACTTTGGAGATGAGTATAATAAAAAATTGTTCAAAAAGATATTTGGCCAACCAAGGGGTATTTCTTTAACTTCACTCTTATAGCTATTTCAATTTTTGGCAGAACAAGAAAAACAAAATAGATCTGAGGTATTTCTGTATTCTATTTACTCAGAAAGACCAGTCTGTACTATAATGTGCCAAGAGCAAACAGGCGACCACAGACTCGATTCAGAATTCTAATTTTTGTTCCATGATCAGTAAATAGCAGATGGAGAGCAAACACAGACTTAATCCTGACACCAAATTGAAAGAAGGAAAACAAACTTTTTAAATAGGAATTCAAACTTTACATTGTTTATCAACTAATATCGCTACATCTAATTCTAAATCAACTGGTATCTCTGATCTCATTTATAACCAAAGAATCCAGTAAAGCAAAACACACCTGGTACAACAAATACAATCTTAGCAAATGAGTTCGATATTTGGGTAAAAGGTTGGTATTTTGGGATGTAAAATGCTGTTTCAAATGATTAAGACAGAACTTTAACTTTCAGGTACAAATTTAAAGTTCACAAAAAGAATTCTGAAGATGCTAGTCTTAAAGTTCACACTTCATTACTAAATATCTTGTTGCTATACTAATTCATCACATACGAAATGGTTCATTTTAAATGAACTGTTACTTATTCCACGACTTATGGGTTATTATAAAGTAATTCATTTTCAATTATGAAATATTTTCTCTATATTAAATACAAGAAGTTTTAACATAATTGATTTTAAATTTGAATTATTTATTTACTAATACGTTTGATGTTAAAATTTATTATATTCTGTCAGCTTTTAGTAAATATCAATGTAGTTATGGCATTTCTGCTGGTAAGCATGTCTTATCCTGGGTATATATTAAAAAAATACAACTTTTAAGCTCCTTAAAATAATTCTAGCCTCCTACTTTGTTTTAACTGGGGCTGTTGTTGAACAGTGTGTAGTGTCGAACGGGATATACAGATGGCCAATAGACATATGAAAAGATGCTCAACATCACTAATCATTAGAGAAAGGCAAATTAAAACCACATAGAGATATCACCTCATAGCTGTCAGAATGGCTGCCATCAATAAAAAAACAAACAAGTGTTGGCGAGGGTGTGGAGAAAGGGAGCCCTCGTGCACTGTTGGGAATGCAGACTGGGAGAGCAGTATGGAGATACCTCAAAAAATTAAAAATGGAACTGCCTTATGACCCAGTGATTCCACTTCTGGAAATACATCCAAAGAAGCCCAAATAATTAATTCAAAAGAATAGATGTACCCCTATGCTCGCTGAAGTGTTATTTATAATAGCCAAGCTATGGAAGCAACCCAACTGCCCATCAGTAGATGAGTGGAAAAACAAGCTGTGGTACATTTACACAATGGAATACTACTCAGCCATAAAAAAAGATGGAAATCTTACCCTTTGCGACAGCATGGTTGGACCTGGAGAGTATTATGCTAAGTGAAATAAGCCAGTGAGAGAAAGACAAGCGCCATATGATTTCCCTTATATGTGGAATCTAATGAACAAAATAGAAACGGACTCATAGATACAGAGAACAGACTGACAGCTGTCGGAGGTGAGGAGGGTTGGGGGGCTGGGTGAAAAAGTGAAGGAATTAAGCAAAACACACACACAACAACAACGACAAAAGAAAACTCATAGATGCAGACAATAGTATGGAGATTACCAGAAGGAAAGGGAAGTGTGAGGAGGTAGGAGAGGGCAAGGGGGGAATAAAAGGTGATGGAAGGAAACTTGACTTGGGGTGGTGAACACACAATGCAATACACAGGTGATGTATTATAGAACTGTACACGAGAAACCTATATAACTTTATTAACCAATGTCACCCCAACAAATTCAATAAAAAAATAAAAATTAACCCTTTGTTCTAGATATTAGATATCTCTTCCTGAATGAATATTGTCTATTTGGCATGCCATCATTAAAAAATATTCAAAGTAAGTTTTAAAACTGACTTTAGTATGTCATGAAATACCATTTAAATTTACTTCTAAAAATCATTTTACTTTAATTCTATAAATATTAACACACAACATCAAATTGTTAAAATTATGAAAAAGATATAAAAAAATCTTAGGATTTTTAAGTTCTAAGGAAATGTTTGGGTGTGCATGCTTGTGTATATAATCTTTTATTTCATAAAAAAAAAAAAATCAGCCTATCTGATAAATGTTTAAATATTTTAACATAAAAATGTAATTACTGATATTTTAGAAAACATTCCATAAAAAGTTTTCATGGAGGGTACTTATCACTGTATTTGAGATGATCAAGAAAATTCTTTTAGATAAAAAAGTTAACTTAAAATACTTACCACATGTGTTTAAAAGCTTTAACATCACGTACACTGTTCTATAGGATTTTCTAAGGGGTGTAATTTTTCAGTATTACATCTCAATGCTGACTTCCTGAGGGAGCTTGACTACAAGAAGCATGAATATGTTTTCAGAGGATGATGGATGAGTTGCTGGGTGGTTATATATATTAGGCAGCTGGTGAGGCCTTTTATCCCTCACTTGTCTTTTAACTATACACAGTTCTAAGATAACTGTGGTCTGTAAGGTTGTGCTTCTCCCTTCCTTGTACCAGCAATATCTGCCTCGGTTTTAACTTCCAGAAATCCCCAATCATAAAATTAAAAGTAAGCAGTTATAACAGTTTCCCCCATACTGTATCTCTAAACATTGTTAATGCCTTGGTTTTGATCATTCATCGTTGGCCTGTTTGACATAAACAAAGTTGTAAGTATAATTCTAACTGAGTTGGGCACCTGAATTCCTGACTGAATACTCTGCAGAAAAATCTACTTATCCACACTAGTATTCAACATCTCATTTTAAACTACAAAAACATTCTGTTTATTCTTCTCAGAGAGACACCACCCTCGCCTGTGTGGCTCAGCTGGTTGGGTGTCAGCCTGTGGACCTAAAGGTTTGGGTTGCGCTTCTGTTTAGGCACAC